TCTAATTCTATTGTTTCTAATCAACCTACTGTTGGTAAATACATGCCACCAAAACAAGCAAAACAAACTGGTTGCTATAAGTGTGCTTGTGTGAACAATCAGGAACAAGGCATGGCAACGCCACCAGGAGTAGGCAGAAACAACTCCAGTGTGTAGAAACAGACATGTTTTCACTATGGAACATCTGTACACATTGCCTGAAATTTTCCTAATCGTGAATATGTTCCCTACTATGCACAAGGTTGGCAGAATGCGCCAAAAGGGAGATCTTTGAAAAGAAACCATTTGAAGGCCACATTCAAACAATGGTGACTGGAATGCCAAGAAAGGAAAGAATCAAACTCCCAAGGTTAAGAAGGGAATTTCAGCCAAGAAGCCAAATTCAAGAGATGGTCCAGTTAGACCAAAATCGGTTAGGTCAAAATTCATCTCGACGATTAGGCTCAAGTTCTAAAGCGAGTGATAAGGCATCCATCCGATCAAACAAGAAATGGGTTAAACCCAACTACAGATGGATAGCAAAGGTTCATACTACCAAATCACCTAATGATTCTAACATTTCTTCATCTTTTGTATATGATAAACAAGATATGTCATGAGAGAGAGTACCTTGCACATATGATAAAGGTCAACCCAGTTTCAAAATGGATTGGGTTCCAAAGACCAACTAATTCTGCACTCTGTGCTGGAGTAGCTATGGAGGAATATCATCAGACTTCGGTTTGTTGATAGTGGCTGTTCCAAGCACATGCTAGAGGATATTTCTCAACTCTACATAACTCAGAACCTTAAGTGAGGGGATGTGTCCTTTGTGGGACAGAAAGAAGAAAGATAGAAGAGGATCACAAATGGGGATTATACATAATGATATGAAGAATTTTTGGATCTGTTTCGAGATTGAAACACAACTAAAGCTGAATGTGTTGCTGCATATGCGTGTTGTTGGTGAAATACAGTTTGATTTTTCTTCTAGATAATTCTAAGCTTCTCTTAAAATGATTCGTTTCAAAGACATTTTTTTATTTTTTCTTGTGCATTTATTTTCTTTCATCCCCATGCTCAAATTAAAGAGAAGAAATCAAAATTCAAAAAATATGTTCTTATGGTTTTTCGTTTGTAGGTGTTATTTTGGAAGTGATATGAAGTCTAGTGTTAAAGGGCAATTTATGATGCATGTAATGCAACGAAACCAAATTGTTTAGACTCTTTGTTCAATGTGTTAGGGTACGAAGGATTCAAAAGGACTAGACATAGTTTGATAATGTAAAGACTTGACAGTATGGACTTAGATAGTTTTAGTTGGACTGACCATACGACGCTCGGGTAGATTAAGCAGTGAGATAAACATGGGAACCTGCAGGATACATTAAAGTCATATGTATCTAGAGCTGTGGTTTAACATTTACTCGATGTATGGACTCGTGTCCTTAATTTCGGTACTGATAGGGTGACTTGGGGGTTCTGATAAAGTAGGTCTGTAGGAAATCATTTTCTTGCTTTCTATTTGTAAGTCATATGTTGCCTCCACTGTGTGATTGGAAGAGATCTGACCTGGAATGCAACATATGCAACTCTATTTCTATGCATCTCCTTATCTATGCATTTCTTTCTATCTGTTAGCCATATGTTGTTCCATCTACATGATCGGAAAATCCGACCTGCGACACAACATATGCACCCTACTATCTCTCTAACCCTCTATCTATGTTAGTCATATGATGTTCCCTCTGTGTGATTGAAAGACATCCAACCTAGGATACAACATATGCATCTCTATATCTATCTTTTCTCTCAGTGATTGAATACTCACGTAAAGAAAGGAGTTCTTTGGAAGTTCTTGATTTCCGGGGTATTTCGGGAAGTGGGGAACACGTTCTCGTACATCTAACATTGAACCATTTAATATGTTGTCTGTAGATCTCGTTGATGAATTTAAGGTGGACAACAATATCCTTGGTCATCGTCAGCTAAATGGTCCATCTAGGAATATAGGTGAAATGTCTTATCACTTTTAATCGATCCAACTTGTAAATATCCTTCGTGTTTAAATGGATCATAATACTGGTGATTGACCAGATCTAAACATGTAGAAGTGTGCTGATAAAAGATGTTGATTGTTTGACAACTTTGATCCTAAAAGTCTTTAATTTAGTCATTATCTTTTATTTTTATTTTTGTTAATTTGTTCATAGTTTTCCTTTATTCACAAATTTAGGGGGAGAATAAAAAATTTAATTAAAAATTAAAAAAATCAGAAAATTAAACAAATCCAAAAATATGTTTATTTCTATTTTTATTTCTTTTTCAGAAAAATCAAAACTCCAAAAATACTTTTGTTTTTTGATTATATTTTATTTTTAGTTTACTTCTTAGTGATTTCTATTCTGTGTTAGTCTACTTTTAGTTTTGTTTTTGTCTCAAAATTTTCTTTGTCTTGAAAAGCGAATTCAAAAATCAGAAAACTCAAAGGAAGAAGAGATTCAAGGAGACTGTACCTTCACACAGATACTGCGAATAGTCTTTCATTGAGCCAATGTTACATCCTTGAACAACTGTGGTGAGAAGGGTCTTTATGATTCTGTGATCCACAATAACTTTTTAATCATTTGTTACTTTTCAAGGCACAACAATGATCATTGAAGAATTCTTATTCGAAGTAATAAGAAGTGAAGATTATTTCTCAACATACAATCTTTCAACCCCAAAAGCAAAGTGAAACTGTACTTAAAGATTATGTAACGAAATGCATTGAAGCCTCCTCAATCAATTTGCTGCTATCTATAAACCTGCTAAAGTGATCCAGAAGAATCTCTCTTGTTGTTATTATCTTCAGAGATTCTCAAGCTGAAAATGTTGATTTTTAAGAATCCTTACAAGAAGCCTCCACACCTAACGTGCGTTCAAAGTCAAATTTTGAAGAAAATCCCAATTATTCAAGATAAAGTCATTCACAGAGAAGATTCATATGTTCATCTTGAAGTTGTGAAGAAATCGAAGATTAAAGCTGAAGCCAAGCACAAAGCGAAGATTAAAAAGCAAAGCAACCTACAAACCCAGGGGGAGCTTGTTATGTCATAAGAAAAGAAAGCTATAAACCAAGGGGGGGATTGTTGGGTCTAAATTTATGGTTTATACTTTTCTTTTCTAGGCATTTATAGTTTTTGGTTTAGGATCGAAAACAGTATTGGGGTTTTGTTGTAGCTTGGACCGAAATCTTATATGATTTCGGTCGAGCCATTAGGTTTTGGGCTTGGGTTTTCGATCCATATATATATATATATATATATATATATATATATATATATATATATATATATATATATATATATATATATATATATGGAAGAGGGGAGGATTAGACAAAGGGGAATAATGATTAGGAGAGTGTCCAAGGAGTAGAAGGCATTCTTGAGAGGCTACCATTGTCATAGTGGGTGTTATAGAGAGAGAAAGTAAAGAGAACGTGTAAGTGTGTGTGAATCTTGTGTATTGGATCATACTGAATATCATTGTACACATTGAAGATTCATCTTGTTTTTCTTCTTCTTCTTCTTCTTCTTCTTCTCCATTCTATCTTACATCATCCACTTGATTGGGATTCTGCACCATCAAGTGGATCTGATTGATACATCAAAGCGAGTTATGGACTTACAAGTTCAACGGAATAGTGGTGGGGTATACTGGTTGGGAAGATGCAATCTGGTGAAGGCTATAACTTTTGGTGTCGAAACACCGTTGTCAGAAAAATTTCATACACGATTACCTGAAAATCTTAGAGGAAAGCATTGTTGTTCCATGGAAGAAAGGTGACATTTTACTACTGGACAACTTGGCAGTGCCTTATACCCGACGACCATTTGAGCCACCACAAAGTTTGAGTGTTACAAAGCCTTAAGCCAAATCATGGTTTCCAGCAACCCTATATTTATTTATAAAATACAAATACATTAATAAATGTCATGTCACCCATTTTAATGTCATGTCTTTAAATATTAGGCTAATTTAACAATTCTTGAGCATACTCAACATTTAACACACAACAACCGACTTACCATATGTAATATTTGAACAAATTGTATATTTTGTTTGTATTTTTGTACAAAATCCTTAGTTAGATGGTGTTTTTTCAACTAGTAAAACTTTAATTGTGTTTTTTGAAAAATTTTAATAAATACATACCATTATAAGTCGTTTTTCCAAATAAAATTAATGAACATACGATACCAACAGAAAGTATTTGAATGATTGCTAGGAAAAAGTTTATATATTGTGATAGATAAATCAAAAGGTTTCTAGTCCAGTCGTATACAATGTTGTCATCTATCTTTGTGGTTGAATGTTCAAATCTGGTCGTACACATGTGAATATATATACCTAATATCTTTCTACCTATTTTAGATATGACAAGTATCATTTAATTTAATTTAAATTTTGTACATTTGTCAACTTAAACGATAATATCTTTCTACCTATTTTAGATATGACAAGTATCATTTAATTTAATTTAAATTTGAATAGGATATTAAATTTATATATTTGTCAACTTAAACGAGTAGGAAAAAAATCAGAAACAAAAAATAAAAGGATATTTAATTTCTCGATAAACAGGCATACCAAAATTCATAATTTCATTGATTAATGTCCCCAGTCATATTTACTCCAACTAGCCAACCAACTCACAGGCAATATCTATTAATGGAATCATTTCACATTACTGGACTTTAAAATATCATGTAGTTGGTTGCTGTTAAAAGAAAAAAAGAAAAGAAAAAGACTTTGATGATGATGGCTGCCGTTCAAAAAGATAAAAGAAAAAGAAAAAGAATAAAATAAAAAAAATCATTCTCTAAATATTTGCACATTGTTTTAACAAAATAAATATCTAAAATTGTCGCAAATATAATAATGCATGGGTATCTTGGAACCAACCATATATATAGCCCTAGCTATATGTAAAACTCACAAGAAACAACACTTCAAAACCATATCTATATTTCTCTATGGCTCCCTTTGCAGTGGAGTTATTCGCAGCAAGTATGATTTTATTTATGATCTCATATGTTAGTTTTTGGTTCACAAAGCTGGTATTTAGGCGAGGCGAATCATGCTATGTGATCGACTACGAATGCTACATGGCGCCGAAGGAGAGAAAGCTGGACACCCACCAGTGTGCGAAGATTGTTTCCCGCAACAAGAATCTGTGTATAGAAGATCACAGGTTCCTTGTAAGAACCATGGTTAATTCAGGCCTTGGTGAAGAAACTTATTGCCCAAAAAGCATCATAATGGGTGAAGAAGAAGACCCAAAACTTGTTGATTCTGTATCAGAAATAGAAGCCGTGTTCTACGATACGCTGGATAGAATATTTGCCAGATCGAAAATTTTGCCATCTCAAGTTGATATACTTGTGGTGAATGTATCGCTACTCTCAGCAGTGCCTTCTTTAACGTCTAGAATCGTTAATCATTACAATATGCGATCCGATATTAAGTCGTTTAATCTCTCAGGAATGGGGTGTAGTGCAAGTCTAATTAGCGTCGACCTGGTGCAACACTTGTTCAAGGCTCACAAGAAGAAAATAGCCATTGTTGTGAGCACAGAATCAATGTCGTCTCAATGGTACTCTGGGAGAGAAAGGTCCATGATGATCTCTAACTGTCTTTTCCGGGTAGGAGGCTGTTCGATGCTTTTAACCAACGACAGCGCTCGCAAGAATCAGGCCATTTTGAAGCTCAAATGCTTGGTTCGAACCAATTTGGCTTCGGATGACGAAGCCTTCCACTGCTGCAAGCAGTCAGAAGACGCTCAAGGATATAAAGCCATTTATCTCAGCAAAACTCTCAAAACAATTGCTGCTCGAGCTTTGACGAAGAACCTAACAGTGCTGTTACCACAAGTGCTTCCACTTTGGGAGATAATTCGTTATCTATTGTTCAAATCTAGTTCGAAAATCAACCTTAAAACTGGAATCAATCACTTCTGCTTACACCCTGGTGGAAGAGCCGTGATAGATGAAGTGGGTGAAAATTTAGGGCTAAACGAGTATGACCTTGAACCAGCTCGAATGACGCTGCATCGTTTTGGGAACACTTCGTCTGCTGGGCTTTGGTATGTTCTAGCGTACATGGAGGCCAAGAAAAGGCTGAAGAAAGGTGACAGAATCTTGATGATCAGCTTTGGTGCAGGTTTCAAATCCAACAACTGTATTTGGGAGGTCATGACCTCAGACTTGGATCGAACAAATGTTTGGAAAGATATGATCCAAAATTATCCTCCAAAGAAGACCATAAACCCTTATCTGGAGAAGTTAGGATGGATCAATGATAAAGCTATGGATTTTGTCACACCTGAAGATATAAGTAAGATGTTTGCAAGATGTTAATTGCTTCTGCGTACGTAAAGCAGTAAAAGTTTATTGTTATTTTAATCACGAATAAGAGGCACCGACGAGTCATGGTCATATCCAAGTGAATAGGATTTCTTCAAATCATTTAAATACTAGATGTGTCTACATGAAAAAAATGTGTATTTTGGTTTTGAAAAAAAAAATGAATATCACTAATATATGTTATATTATCGTTTATTGTGATTTTTAGATGGGTTGAAAATCAATCAAATTAATCTTTGTTTCTTTTTTCTTTCGTTTTAAAAATCAGAACCGATCGGTCAAACCAGTTGGATCGAAAATCAAGAAAAGAAGTGGTTCAACTATCACTGGTTTATGTTTATTTTTAAATCGGATCGAACCGGTTGGTTTTTATAAAAATACGGTTGAACCAATTCAATTAAATTAGTTGAACTGATTAAATTGAATAAAAACACGCGGAATTAAAATCTTTTGCATAATAAACTTTTGTGATTTTTTCATATCTATTTAGATTTTTTTTAAATAAAAACACATGATAAATGTTATGAAGTTTTTTGATGCATTTATATTCATCTAGGACTTTATTTTCTTTTTAATGCACGTAGATTGATCTATAATTTGTTTTCATGTGTATTTTGACGTTTGAACTTGTGGACATCAAATTCTTGATTTGTATATGTATGTATGTATAGTAAAATACGAAAAAATATAAAAATTATAGAAACCGGTTTACTCAACTATTGGACCGGTTGAACCCGAAACTGGTCATTATATCGTTCAACTAAAAACAAGTTTTTAAAACATTGATTTTGTGTGTAACTAGCTGAAAGCATGCAATTAGGGTTGTAAACGAACCAAACGAACATAAACAGACCTTGTTCATATTCGTTCGTTTAAGTTAGCTGAACAAATAAACGAACACGAACGGATAAACGAACGTGTATTCTTGTTCATATTCATTCATTTAACAAATTCCATTGTTCATATTTGTTCGTTTATGTCCGTGAACATTTTAAACGAACATAAACGAACGAATATAAATGAACAAAGCTAAACAAACATAAATGAAATATATATATATATATATATATATATATATATATATATATATATATATATATATATATATATATATATATATATAAACATAAATAAAGATATAATATAGTAATGTAATCAAATACAATTAAACATATATGAACATTAAAACAACTTATATAACTGAACATAAACGAACGTTCACGAACATAATTAAACGAATAAATTATTATTCATGTTACGAGAATTTGTATTCATATTCTTTCATTTATTAAATAAACGAACTTCTACTTGAACGCTTCATGAACAATTCACTGAACGTTCGGTTTGTTTATAGTCATATATACGAAAACACAAAAACAAAATTAATGATGAAATAATTTCTCGGGGCAAGCATATTTGACGAATTGGTTTTTGATAGTGTAATAATGCCCAATCAATTTGCATAGACTTTTAAAGTAAAAAAGTAGCTTATTGTGGGTAGTTTCTTATTGCCAAATGTTATAAATGAAGATACCAAATTGGAATAGAACTAGGAATCAGGGACTAAAAATGTAATGTTTTGAATTTAAAAAGGATAGGGACCGATTGAGCTGCTCCAAAGTGGGAGGCTTTGTTTCCATTTAACTAGTTGAGCAAGTGGATTACGTCACTGCAACAGAAGATGCATAGTGTATTTATACATTGAACATGGGCATTAATTAGCTCATTCGGTTACACGAGATAAGATACACGAGCAAGGATAAGAACACAGTATCGATAAGTACAACCGGTTAATATCATCTATTCTATCATGCAGAATATATATTCTATCCAGGAGGCCTCAAATTTTTTAGGCCTCCATTTTTGTGAGCATATGTTACTATATTTATATGGAGTATTATAAATTTATTAAAAAATCCCTCATGCATGCGTTAGTAACTTAGTATAGATTTATAGCAAAGAAAAAAACTTTATGCCGTACATTAGATGTAAGGAGTCAAAAGGCGGCAAAAGGAATTATAATTGTAAAAACTAAAAACAAAGACTAGAAATCTAAGGACCTTTTTTCTTTCAAAAAAACAAGAATAGGGTTTAACTTGCTAACGACAACAATAAGAAAAATCACAATCAATTTTCTTTCCTCTTTCTCCAATTATCCTCACTTCTTGGTCTCGCATACAGAAACAGCCACACCATACATTCAGTTGATCTTAGTAGTTGATTGTTTACAAGTTGTTCATCAGATAATCCAGATCTCTAAGATTGAAAATTAATTTTACCTAGTTCACCAAGACGTTGATGAAAACAGAAATTGGAATAAGTAAAGTAAATGATTTTTGATTTTTCAAATGAATAAGATTTATGAATTGTGATTGAAAAATGCTTTTTGGTTTCATAATAGAAATTGATTTATGATTCTTTGAATAAAAACTGATTTCTAATTTCAGATTTTGATTTATTAATGAAAATTATTGAATAAAAACCGATTTCTAATTCTGAGTTTTATTTCTGAATAAAAAACTGATTTTTCATTTCTTAATCTGAAAATAGATAGCATATTTCTGATTTTAAGTTTTTGTATTCTAATTAACTGATGTGTGATTTATGGATTGTATCTCTGATGTTGAGTTTATATATGCTTATTTTTGTAAGTTGTTAGTAAATTGAAAGGCCAAGAGAAGTAATCTTGTTGGATATTAAGGTATCCACAATGCACTGAATTCTATAAAGTTCAATGGAGTGTCACATCATCATTCACTATTCCATACAATTCTATTCATTTTTATCCCACAATGCATTAAATTCTACAAGTGAATGGAACATATTAAAAGAATATTTATTTAAAGATTTAAATACTTTTCTTTTTCCTATTGAAGAGTTCAATTGATAATGAACTCCAAATCCATTGAATGTCAAAGTGACATTTCACAATAGTGGAGTTGTATCTATTGAATGACAAGTAGGCATGACACCTCATTCAACTCTTCCATTAAACTCCCCATTATGGATGCTCTTAGGCTGATAGCATTGTTGTTGAATTCAAATCAACATCAACACATCATAACCAGTGTTTTCATTTCTTTACTTCTTTTTTTCATTGTCATTGTTTTATTTAAGTCTAAAATAATAACATGTTTCCTAGAAAACATTTCTCTAAAAAAAACAAAACAAAAATTGAACAATAATTAAACATTACGGCAAAACATGATCTATGGATAAATATGTGAAAAATGTTGATACATGTAATCCTAATGCTACAAACGATAATGAAAATGGAATAAATGAGACTAATAATGTCACTAATGAAAATGTGAATATTGTTATGAAATATTAGTTTGTGAATATGAATGACCAGTGAATTTTTTATTTCTCTCATAACTCTCCACCATTATTTAACATTAATAACAATCATTTCAATATGCGCATTAGTATTATAACTCATCTTTCATCTTATTTTGATAGTATAAATAGTAATTCATATGTATTAGAAAGTTGATGATTTTATCACAAATATTGGAATAAAAATTCTCTTCATTTTCATGTCTTTTTTTACTCTATAATTTATTTTGTTATTTGATCATATTTTATAACACGTTATCAGTACTCTACCATAGAGTTCTAACTCCTTATCGGTCTTGTCATTTTCAGGTATGTATTTTTGATAAGTTCACATATACAATTCTTATAAGTTATTTTATGGAATTTCTTAACTAATAATTCATTAACAAACAAATCTTTATTTTGATTAGTATTCTCACTACGGAAAACCATGCTATAGAAAACTTTCTCTACTTTTCATGCCACTAATATACTCATGCAGTAGCAATATCATGATAAAGGTTTTAAAAAAATTATGAATTAGTTGCATGTCTTCTTGCAGCTAAACAAAACAATGAACTATTTATGAAAAATCACCAAGAACGCCGCCAGGTTCTGGTCAATTCCTTGAAGTGAATGCAACATCATATAATTATAATACACATGGGTCTAACCAAGTCCTCATATTATTGTAACAACAAGAACAAAATTGCAAGTAATCATCGGAAGTTGGAAAATAACAAAAACTCATATCCTAACGATAAAAGTGGTCAATGCAAAAAAAAAAAAAAAAAAAAGGTTGAAAATATTTATCACCGATATGGAATGACTGGTCATTGGTCTCGTACATACCACTCTCCAAAGCATTTTATTGATCATTATCAAGCTTCGCTAAAATCTAAAGAAAAAAATATTGAAACAAATTTTATTCAAAATGATTTTCACGAATATCAACCAGAAATGATATATTGTGATGTTTGTCGATTTTCTTGTCTACCTAAAAGGGACAAGTAGTATTATGGATGGTGATAGAAGAACAATATGTAATTTTGTATCATGATATTTATTATGTTTTTATGTCATATTGGTTTCATGAGAAATGATGTCGTCACAATCTTATAAAAGTAATAGAATATGGATCCATTTCTCTAAGTCGATTGTTTTTTATTTATTTATGGGAAAATGACATAATTCCTTAAGTTTTCACAAAAATGTCGGTTTTACCCTTGTACGTGTTTTAGGTCCAGTAAAGTTGGGTGTTTTGTTTAATTTGTTCATTTATACCATTTTAGTTGGTTTCCAGGTAACCTACCAGTTACCTAATGACAGTAAAGCCCTCGAGTTTTCAAAAATGTTCGGATATACGCTTATTTTGATTCTAATTATTATTATTATTATTATTATTATTATTATTATTATTATTATTATTATTATTATTATTATTATTATTATATATTTTTAATACATTTTTAAATGTATAAAAATATTTATATATACATTTTCAAATGTATAAATGTAACATCTCGACTCCCAGGTTTGACACTTAATTGTTTTATTCATTTTTAACAGAGAAACTCGACGAGTTGGGGAGCACCAACTCGCCGTGTAGACACTATTA